CACCAAAACACCTTACTTTGTTGTCACAAGGGCTTCGGCCAGAGAAGGCAAAAGTCCAGCGACACCAACCCCAAGTCGCATACCCATCCTGAAGACTCGTGTAGGACTCGTCTGTCCTCATACTACGCCTGCATTGCCACAGTCTAGTGCTGAAACGGCACAGGCAATACTAGGGGGACAAGATACTACAACTGCATCAACTGAAAGCCAGTGTGTGAAGTACAACAAACCTAAAAGGAAACGCTCAAGACGTCATAAGACCTCGAAGGCGTCACCAAGTAAGGGAGACGAATGCCAGGCGTACAATATCATTGTTTCTAAAGCTGACTCAGCGTTCGAATGCAATTTTTGCAAACGGTAGGTGCACTGCCGTTGCGACAAAGAGGTGCCGAAAGCATAATACGAGTTTATGAGAAATAACCCGTGCCCGTCGTTTTCGTACATCTGTCCAATTTGTCGCCCTGGCATAGTCACACAGAGCGTGTCTGCGGATAGCAGAAACAACACGCCGCCCTTGCGTCCCAACATGGCCTTATGCAGCTCCGCACCTGCTTACATCACACTGCCAAAACTTGGCACAGACAGTAAGAAGGACACTCCATTCCTACTGACTGAAAATGCCAATTTTCACAAGGTGAAGATTCAAAAGGTTGGACCCAAAACGTCAAGGAAGGGTAGAATTAGAGAAGCACCACTTGCATCCACAAACAAGCTTGGCAACACAATAAAGGCTGGCCAGAACCCGATGAAGCCTAAAGTTGCTGATGCTGCAAAGGAATATGAGAAGCCAAAGGCCAAACCTAAGTTTGAGGTTAATCGGTCTAATTCGCTCATCCTCTTTAACGTGCCTGTGAGCAAGGACAACTTACTTGAACAGCGGGCCCTGTTTGATCAGGAACAGTGGTCCAACCTGTGTAATAAACTAGGTCTGAATATTAGTTCATTGAAATTGTGCAGGCTGTACAGGGGTGTCCACACCACTGGACTCTACCGAAGAGGCCGAAAAGGTACTATTGATGGCTCAGGTACTAGCCATCGATAGAAGCTCGAACATTAGGGTGAGACAAGACAGACCATGGGATGTCAGACAAATGGTTAGGGAGTCACCAGAACTTTTGCCTTCTACCTCTATGGTGGTACACGGTGTTCCGGAGCGGGAAACTGGCACTGCCTGTGAAAAACACATGCATGACGCACAGCAGTGGAGATGGCTGTCGTCTCAGATAGCCCTTGGCGCTTCTGGAGCCATCTCCATTTACCGACTACCTCACCCCGCTCATCTCACACTGATTAGCTCCCCAAAGCTGCTTAGTGTCACATTCAACTCTTCAGAGCAGTTGGCCATAGCACTTCAACGGTGGTATGAGATCAAGGGGAAATTGGGAGGACACATCCGATGCTGCGAAAGCAGACCTCGAACCATAAGGAGGCAGCAAACGGAGGCTTTATTACGTCCCCAAGCTTCAGTGACACTAGAGCGATGCGGTTCTGAGAATAACAGTCTGTGTCGCCCAAGTGTCCTGCCTAAATCCATGGGAAAAAGCCACAACGGGCCGGTTCCATTGGAACTGGCCAACTAGTCTCAACATTAAGTCCCCTACCAGCAGACAGCTTCACGTCAACCACCCCACAACACGCTGAGGTTGTAAGACTCACTGTCAGCTGCCTATATAGCAATGTGAGGGGGCTGAGAGAAAAAATAGGTGAACTCCGAAATCTCCAAGCACACCTACAACTGAAAATGATCATTCTCACCGAAACATGGCTAACCCCACTATCGCCGATAATGTAATCAGTATAGGTGATATGGTTTTGGCCAGGAGAGACAGGGATAATAAGGAAGGAGGAGGAGTTGCTATATACTTTGATAGGCAAGTTAAATGTGTGCGCGCAACGGACCCACCACTTGTTGAACTCTCAGACTCCATATGGTGTCATTTCACCGTAGGCCACACCAAGCATTTACTTGGTGGCATCTACCGATCTCCCACCTGCGGGGCAGAGCACAATCAGCTACTGCTCAGTACCATCACAGGGATACGAGACTTGGGCTATGGCCGAATCATCATTGCTGGAGATTTCAATGCCCCATCACTGAGCCTTGGCTCGGGGTATGCTAAGGGAAAACTCGGCCGAAATCTACTGCAAGCTATTCGGAACACGGGACTGACTGAGAACGTTGGAGACGACACTAGGTGGGGCCCTAGTGGAAAGTCACCAAAACTAGACTACATTCTAACTAGTGACCAACTACTCGTCGAAAAGGTCCAGATCATGGCTCCTCTAGGAAGTAGTGACCATGCAGTCATAGGTTTCGACCTCGTTCTCCGTGAGCATTTGCGGTGGGACGTTACGCAACCATGCCTGTTACGGCAAGGCTGACTATGCTGAAATGCGGAGGCTCTTGTCAGATGCAGACTGGCCCTTAGCATGGGATGAGCTGTCTGTGGATGAACACTGGGAAGCGGTAAGAAAGATTATTCGTACAGTAATCTCGGATACCGTCCCTTTAGTCACAACACAGCCCAAAAGAAAGTCATCATGGTTAAAGAGAGGCACGCAGCGTATTCTGCAAGCAAAGCAGAAGGCTTGGTCTACGTGGCGAATCTCTGAGAGTCAGGCCGACCACGATGCATACCTGGAACTCAGGAACCTGTGCGATGCAAGAGTCAGGAGGGACAGGAGGTCATTCCAGGCTAACCTTGCTAAAAAACTCCTGGCAAATCCGAAGAATTTGTATCAATTCATGTTGGAAAGGAAACCAACCAACCAGGGGGCATGCGCCTTAGTAGGCCAGAACGGTCAATATCTCACTAGTTTGGAGATGGCTGAAACATTTAGTTTAGACTTCGCTAAACAGCTAAACAGCAATGTGGGTATCACCGTTACGGACCAAAATGGTGGCATCACTACTTCACAGGAGGAAGACCAAATAGCCACCCCCCAAATAAACCCTGCAATAGTACTGAGAAAGCTGCAGCGACTCATACCTGACATCAGGCCATCTGTTCTGAAACAGTGCGCTGAAGCTCTCTGTAGGCCTTTATGCGACCTGTTCCAACACTCCATGGAATCGGCGAAACTGCCAAAGGAATGGAAAAGAAGCATCCTTTCTCCGATCTTCAAGGGTGGGGATAGCCAAAATCCCACCAGTTATAGTCCAGTAGCTCTACTCCCAGTGGTATCAAAAGTACTGGAAACTATTATTGATGATCACATCAGGGAATATCTGGATAGGTCTAAAACACTCCATGAAGCCCAACTTGGTTTCAGGAAAGGGAGATCCTGCGTCACTAACTTATTATCAGCTTGGGACGACTGGACATCATGCTGGGATATGAATGTTCCAGTCCATGTGATCTTTCTAGACTTTGAGAAGGCATTTGATACTGTTCACCATGACCTTCTCCAACACAAAATAAGCCAGGTAGGTTCAGGGAAGCCACTTCTGTCGTGGTTGAAGGACTACCTAACTGAAAGGCAATTTTGCACCAAGTGTCAATCGAGTCCGATCATCTTGGCACAGCTCGTCATCAGGAGTGTCGCAGGGTTCTATCCTGGGACCACTGATGTTCTTGATTTTTATCAATGATCTACCATGCCGTCTAAGCTGCCCGACTCTTCTATACGCTGATGACGTGAAGATATGGAGGGCGATAAAGTGTCCGGAGGACTCAGATAGACTGCAGGCAGATCTAAAGCTTCTGGAAGACTGGGCGGTGGCCAGTGGCATAACTTTCAACCTGAAAAAGTGCAAAGTGGTGAAGTTACGCACCTGTAGACTGCAGAATGCAAGTTACACCCTGTACAATGAAAGCTTGTCCTGCTCAACGTCGGAACGTGACTTAGGTCTAGTTCTAACGGAGAAAATGGACACAAGCGTAAACTACAGGGGAGATGTAGCGAGAGCATATGCGGTCATACACTTTACACATAGGCAATTAGGTGCACTCACTCCTGAGCTCTTTCTAAGGTTGTATAAAACATACGTCAGACCGCATCTTGAAGTGCATAATATCATTGCACCCCCACCGTTTAGAAGAGACGCCAACCGCTTGGAAAGAGTCCAACGATGGCAACAAAAAGAGTGGTTGGTCTCCAAAATAAAACATATGATGTAAGGCTGAAGAAATGAGGCCTATTCCCGCTTACTTACCGTCGTCTTGGGGGGGATTCAATTACTGCCTACAAAATAACAAATGATCAGAATCACCCAAACAAAGGTGTTCTGCCATTGTGTAGGTATAGGTTCCCTCGTGGGAATCCCAGAAGGATAGCTCATCAGAGGGCAAGGACCCGTATGCGCTCCCAATTCTTTTCCCTGCGAGTTTGCCTTCCCTGGAATTCCTTACCGGCAGATGTAGCTATGGCACCGTCTGTGGACACCTTTAAGCGAAGGCTGGACAACCATGCAGCGACACAAGGACTTCATCCAAATGGCCTATCGCCTTAAAATCGCATACACCATTCAAAGGTAGACAATTAAACTTGTCGATTTACTTCTTTGCATTCTCTCCCATCTTAGCCTCTGACATCTTTAACTACACCTATTATTATTATCATTATTACTGGTATATATATATACCGGTTGACTGACTGTTGTTACGTTTTCTTATTCATTTTTGTCTGTTAGTCTGAATACCTTCACTAATTGTATCTATTATTATTATCTCTTTTCTATTGACGATGATACCGAAAGACCAACTGGTGAAAGGATCAACTCCATTCACAGTAGTAACAGTCTTCACACCTCATACTACAAACCACATATAATTAATCCCTGCACTACTCCTTTTGGAGTCAACCAAAGCTACGGCAGTCGAGTGGCGGGACGAGCTACGCAGACGTTTACCGAAGATCAGGAACCTCTACCTCACAATCAAGAGGCGAGCAAAAACAAATCAAATTGGTTTATACTAGCTTGTAAAAACGATATTGGATATTGAAAACTTTCCTGAGGACCTTGAAAGAGTTCCGCAGTTCAAAGTATGTAATCTATTATGGCGTGTAAGGAAAAACCATCTAAAAGCATTTTGAAATCTGATCAGGAACAACCTCGTAAGTTAACATTGAAAACTGTCCTTGATTATGTTCATGGTGTTATTTCAAAAAGCAAATTTTGGTTTTCAGAGTTTTTATGGTACTATAACTACTTTAACATTTGAATTTCTAACAAGTGTCACACTTATAATTTGTTTGCGTGAGTTTCCGCCTGCCTTCGAAAATTACCTTAATTTGCTTATCCATTTATTATGTATATATTAGTGAATCGTGCACCATTCGCTCGATGAGATTCATGAGATCTTCCTCCTAACTTTGCATAAGTTTGATCTTGTCGTGTAAAGTATGGGACGAATTTTATGTTCACGATATTATAACCTTAAACAATTATCCATTAAGGTGTATTATATGTAGTCTTAGTCTATTATCCTTCGTTATAATGCTTTGTGAATGGAAACCATTTTCTGTGTATTTTGGAATGTGTGTGTGATATATCACATCGAGTATGGTATGTTTTAGGGATAATTTTTGGCAGAATTCTGTTTTGAGTAAAGGGATGACACAGCAGCGATAAGAGTATGCGATTCCTGTCTTCCAGACTAAATGATTTTATGTGATTTTACACCCGAGACAACTGACTAGGCAAAGAGAAAACAAAATTTTGACGGTCAGAACAATATGTATAACACGTAGTCCTCATTGTGTGCATGCCTAACTGCAAATCGTGCACAAATAACGGAACGTCACATACTAGCGTCTAGACGGTGAGCATTTGTAGCAAAACGCCTTCAACGTAAGGGGTCACTTAAACTAGTGAAGACTGACACCTAACTTCAATATTCAACTCAAACACAGGCTTTAAATTTTGTGGAGCTCTTCTCATATGCATTAAACGAAATAGAAATAAAGTTTTCGCTAAACGAACCCAAACAGCTAATCTCTCTTTCTTTTTTTCTCATTTTTTAAATTATTTTTGTTGTTGTTGTTTCTATATTTGTTTTTTGAAATACTACTTTTAAATGTTTGATAAAATTAGATGCAAATATTGTAGATATGTGCTGAAAATTCCACACTGTACCACTAGTACTGTTTCTGGAATAAAGCAAATTATTATTATTATTACTTTTCATTAGTCATTCCCTGTCTATGTTAATCAAGAGACATTCGTTTAGTTCTAATCCATTTAAAAAGTGTGTATTTCCGCTGGAATACCTACACCGAAATCATTAGTCAACTGACTAGTCGGTGCCACAGAGGTTAGGACGCTTGCCGACCATGCCCGTGGTACGGGTTCGATCCCGGCCGACGCACACTTGAAATCAATGGTTGGCCTGCTAAATTTGGGTTACCGATATCACATGCTGAAAATTCCATACTTGTATCAAAAATGCTAGGTGAAGTCAAGCTATAATAAAAAAATAAAAGTAGTCATTATAATTGTTGGTTTGTGATATACGGGCTTAAAGGGGGGGGGGGTTAAATTTTTTCAGCACGTAAAGCAGTTCTAACTATGACCTTTACCAGTCTTCGTTGCTGTATTCAGGGCTAGTTAGCAGAGGTGATGGAATCACAATAAGTGCTACAGGCTGAAAATCATAGATTCAGAAGTGATCCACCTCATTATCTTCAATTAAATAAATTAGAACAGGATTTTACCAGCTGAAATGAGTGCTCAAAATAAAGCTATATTTATGTAGAGGAAAAATCCTAACATACTTAAGCTTAGGTGATGAAAATTATTTCCGACAACTTCCTGATAATATGGATTTTTTTGGAGGCAGTTACTTACTATCCCACTCATTCATTCACCTTAACGACTTTAAGTAAAAGATGCCTTCGCCAGTTTCCCAGCTGAAGTGAACTATTAAACATACACACAAGTGGATCTACGAAGAGCCGATTTCAGATGTTGTATATAGTCTAACAATGCAGGATTTTAATGCATGTTTATTCATGAACGTATACTTTCTCTAAAATCATATTGTAAAAATATCCATGGTCCAGTCGTTGCCCAAAGCGCATTGTGTTTATGAGAAGACAGAATTAGGCCTGGAGATGCTGAGAAGCAGGCTCACTTAATTGAACCTTCTCAACTTAGAATCAGTGGCAGTAAGAATGCAGAGTCAGAAACCAACAACACCTTAGATTCGTTACCAATAATTGCAGCTAGTTTGATGAATGAAAAGTCGTGATATATTTTGTCTAATGCCTATCCCCAATACTTCATACCACTGAAACTTTCCGCTACTAAAGGCTCCTATTAAAAAATGTATGCTTCTTTAACGTCAAAGAATTGCTTGGTTTTGCAGTATTATCTTAGAACCACATTTGCAGATTACATTGTTCGAAGTGAAAATTCATCAGAGTTCCTTCTAAAAACCTAAATTATTCGAATCAAAATATGTGATCTGTTTGATAACATAAATAGAAATAAAGAAAGCAAACACCACTCATATCAACTAGTAGTGCTTCCTAGTTAAATCGAAGTGATCTAAACAACAGGTGGCCATTTCGCTTGTTTACAATCAAACTCATCAGCAATGTACGTGGTTTAAGTAAGCTCAGACAGCCAGATTAGGCAAATGGTTTACAATTACTTATATCAGTATTTATGAGGGGAATCTATTCCGAAACATAAAGAGGAGAAATATTTCCGAAATATAAGTTGTTGTTTTGACACTTATCTGAATGAGCTTAGCATTTGCATTCCCGTCTGCCAAATACAAGCTGATTTATACCACCTGATTTTAAGGTAGGCCAAAGTCTATTTATTGGAAACAGAAAAAATTAAGTTTGAAACGAATTTTCATCGAACTGAGTTCAACTCATTAAAAGTACCAAATATTTTACAGTGATATATCCTACTGTAAATAATGGAGGCAAATAGGGTGAACTGAAGGAAAACGCTAAACAACACTAGTCTTTGATGCGACCAACTACAGTGAACTGTAGTACCATCGTGATATCCATAATAATCTTTACTGATAACGTTTTGCAAAACAACATTTAATCTCTGACAGTGAAATTCCAAGAGGTATATATCAAATGCTGTTGTTAATAGATTATAGTTAAAAACATAAATCTCTTTTAATTTGTATGTCAGTGATTCGATGTCACTTGACGAAACATCGGTGTTGTTAATGGCAGTTATTCTCTAACTATTATGGTTTTATAACTACAGAAGCTGACAAAGAAGTTATCTAAAGGAATGGTCTTTCTTCTCCAATAAGTCTTTTAAAACTCATAATGCTGATCTTTAATCAATTTGCAATAACAATCAAGAGATTCTAAATAAGATACTACAGAAATACTAATCAAATAGGGACTAGAGCGAAGTTTAATAAGCAAATGGAATAACTTGACATAATTAGCAGTTATAAATAGAGTTCAACTAAAAGTAATGATCATTGTCATAGGGAGAATTAAAGTAATAATGTGACAAAAGTGGAAATTGTAATACTACATAATAAGTCACTTTTGTGTCAAGTTGTATATTCTCCCTTCAAAGCAATCAATAAATAAAGCAGAGTTCAGTGTTTCAAGTGTTTTGAGTTTTATTCCCTTGGTTATATAAATACTTATAGGTTAGTCACCAGTGACCTAATTGTTTTTAAACGTTTTCTGATGACTCATCCATTGGTCACTGTTCGACTGAGATCGCGTTTATTTACCATATATGGTTAATCTGTCTAACTAACATTTGAGACATTTTTTCTCAGGACCGAATCTTAAATACGTATGTACTGCCGAATCTCATCGGTACACCTAACACTTTATGATTCGTGTTTCTGATGCGCACCCTAATTTAAATTCCTCAACATTTTAATCAAATAATGGTCTGATCAACTTTCTGAAACTTTCTGGTTTGTTGTGCATTTTAACAGGTGTGCTGGATAGGAAAGACTGTTCTGCGGAGCTACAAACTTTTACCTACTTAAGTAGCTGTAACACAAGTTCTGTATATTTCTAACCAGTATCTAAGTCCCCTCAACATGCTGCTGATATTTGGAATTCAACTATATTAAAAACAGAGGTTGTCAAAATCAGATGATGTGAAATGTGTAAGAGAATGTTAATAACACGGTACAGGTTCTTGACACGTTGAGACCTAACTTTTCAGAGAACTAATGTGACTTGATTCAGACGGAATTAGTAGCTATGCAGATTACCTGTTTCCAGCATCTTCAAAATTTTAAATGCCCTATCACTATCCTGTTCTTCCAACCTTCCAGTTCTTATACTTCTCTGCGTTGCTTATTCTTGATTTACTGTTGTGAAGCGGGACATGATAGGTTGTAGGAAATTTCCATGAATTTCTGAGTGACATATCTCGGTGCACATAAAGGCAGAACAACTAGCCATAACTAGTTTAATGGCTTCAATTCATATGAAATAAATTGGTTCGTTTATAGTATACTTTTTAGAAGTAAATATCATAGATTTAACCTTAAAAGCTGATAAAGAAGTCTTCCTTAGGTTCTGTGCGAAACAGAGGGTATCAGAACCGCTTCTTCAATTCAAATGGTTATCTGCAGTCCTCTCTGGCTGGCCTTACCACTGCCAATAGGCTTTCATTTCCTCTTCATACGACCTTCTTCGTGTCACCTTGGGAGAAAAAACTTGTCGTTTCTTATTCGGGTTCCACCCAAGGGCCTAACGCATGGCAGCAAAACTTCTGATTACAAAATTATGGGTTTATGTTAAATTCAGAAGAAGTAACTTTTTTCTGGATGCACATAGAAATCATTGTATAATTATCGCCTTTGCTTTAAAAGTATAAACCACTTGAAAGTTATAACTTGTACGTATATATATATATATATCTAAGTGACAAATAGAATCTGTGATTAGTTATAACGTAGTATATTGATAAACAAACAGAATAGTATAAATGTATAGGTTGAAAGGACTGAATTAATAAACAAATACTTGGTTGAGACAAAGGCTAGTGTATTTCATTGAAGACACTTAAAACTCCCATTCAGTGTAGAGTACTTAAGTGTATATTTTGAGTCAATATCCTGAATAAAAAAGGTGGTTTACTAAGGAATTATATA